TTTATGTAGCTATTGATGTTTGTATTATATAACGTTATTACGATATTATTATTATTATTATTATTATTATTATTATTATTATTATTATTATTATTATTATTATTATTATTATTATTATTATTATTATTATTATTATTATTATTATTATTATTATTATTATTATTATTATTATTATTATTATTATTATTATTATTATTATTATTATTATTATTATTATTATTATTATTATTATTTATTAATACAACACAAACAGAAAAACATTACCCTCACAATGTCGATTTCCGATAATGCATGTGGAGAAATGAAAAAACCAAAAGACTATTAATTGCAAGAGCCTAAAGCGCGTGTCATTCAGGGGTGATGGGATGGTTGAAGGCAAGACACTCGGTGGTGAAGAGCAGTGGCCCGCCAACACTGCAAGTCGCACCAGACATCAAGCGGCTCCGGATACCATCTTAGTAGGTCCGCCAACGCCACCGAGGCTCACTATTTGGAATAGGGGATAAGGGATAATCTAAACTGAAAAGTCACTAAAAAGCATAAAGCCGTTGCGATACCAAAACATTTAGAAATGGTGATTGAAGTGAGCTATAAAAATATGTAAAGGTAGCCATTTCAAGTCGAAGTTTTTGAAGCCTATTCATGATTTTTACTTGAAAAAAGTTCGCCTGTCAAAAACGAGAAAGACCTTCTGGTCGCACGTGAGATTGCATCTTTCACTCCTAATCTCCGCGCGCATCTCCTTCTCACCAAGAGGGAACATTGGAGGCTCGAAACTATGGCAACTTAGAAGTACTCTAAATATAATGAATATCTGATCAATTGGAACCTCGACTGTAACAATGATTTCACTGTTCAACATGGAAAAATACTAAGTGCCCTTCTTCTCAGTTTGCCAAACACCAGTTTTAGTGGAGGCTTCGAGTATCTCAGAAAGGTCATCCCGTCATGAGTAATAAAAAAGCCGTCTTCGAAAAAAGCCGTCTTTATGTTACAGAAAAACTCTTAGCCACTCCGCTAATTGAGCCGTTTCAATTGACGCGGAAGTGGTCGAGATACTCCTGGAATTGGCTCAGGTGATGGAATCGGTGGCTTCAAAAACCCAACCCATGTAGAAGCTTTTATTTAAGCCGTCAAGACAATGGTGCAACATCCATCTGTTCACTCCAGAAATTCTGGAAGTCTACTGGAAGTAACGTGCCAAAATGCCTCTTCGGTTGAACTTAATCAAAGTTTTGGGACGAGGAGACGACTTCACCAGTGAAGGAGGGCTGGACCCTGATGAAATAGCTAGCACGGCAATCGATGTAAGCCCAGACATATGCTGGACGTCGTCTAGTGGGCCTACCATTGAGTCTATCGCGAAAATGGAAGCTTTGAGTCAGAAGCTATGAGTCAATGGTCAAATAATTACGCTCCTCTTCGCACCGATAAAGCGAAACACAGATTTGCTAGACACTTGATGAGAAGAAATGAGATGATGGAGCACTGCTAAAGCGCGATGGCACCTGCGTGGGAAGAAACGACCGCCTGAGAGTCCTACATATTGTATTGTAGGTAGGGCAAATTTTATGGTATATCTTAACAACGTGTAAAATCCTGTGTCCCTTGAAGTAGCAGTTCACACAATCAAGGCTCAAGTTCGACAGCAAGATTGCTTGTACCTTTTCGAAGCCGAACGACATGTCGAAAGAAGGATATATAAGAGAGTACTTTCATTCAGTCATCGATTACAACACAAAAGTAGGAAGATGCAGTAGTACACTGGAAGTCTAATGCCAATATAAGCAAAAAAGAACTGAAGGGAAGGAAAAATCAATTTTGGTGAACACTCGCGGAAACCTTCAACATTTTCAGATCTCCCTGTAGTCATAATGTCTTACAGGATGCATAAACGCTCTTTGCCTCGGTACTCTTATTTTCTTGTGATTATTTACAGTTTTTTCCAACTCATTACCGCATGAAATGCAAACTGAAGTGCTGAATTATTCTCGCTCTACCGAACCGAGAGATAACCTGACAATTGCTGAAGTCTGTAGCAGTCTACCATTGAAACGGAATACTACGAATGCGACAATTGGCTAACACTGTTGCCGTTAATGTAATGTCTCTGGAAAGGAACTCGAGCAAACGTCTTGAATTGACTTACCAAAGCAGGATTTGTTTCCAAATCATCTTTTCCACTAAGAGTAGGACGTTCTTGATTATGTCCTCCTTTCTTTACCAAGTAGAGTATTTCTGAAATCATAAAAATCTCTCACCATTTCTGTTCAGTGACGGTGAAGATTGAGAGGAACATTTTCGAGTGCAGTGTTGAACTCTGTTACCCCGTATGACAGATTTCCAGTATCTTCGTGTAATCCGCTTGGAAGCTTCTATTTCCAGAAGTATTTTTGCAGAGGCCCTCTTACACAGTGAGCGCGGAAAGTTCTAGATTATCCGTTCGTTTGAGCTGAGTTTCTACACTCCCTCTCGGCCATCGTCTCGCTACTCAGCACTTTTCTCATAATGTCGTGAAGACATACTCTGGCCAGTTGTAATAGGAAGATCAGCCGTTTTTTTCTTCCTCGCAATGGTAAGATAGCTCAAAAGCTGCCACATTACTGTGATTATATTGCGCATGCCCTTTGTCCCTTTTTGTCATCTCACATAAGTAATTCTAGTCGCATATGCATTTTATGACAATCTGCGATCCAAAAGATGTTTTCGCAGTAGTATTGTTCGATCACAAACTTTTTACTCGTGGGGAGTTCGTCTTAATGATTATCTTAATGATTATGATTATGAATAGCTTTACTATACAATTGGAAACACACTTTCGTCATCAGCCAAACATAATACAGTTCTTATCTCGCCTTCTGAGTGGGAATATCACCGGACACATGGTGGCTGCCGTCGCACATCATAGATGTCGCGCGCATAAGATGTTTTCAGCATTCCTTGCCGATTTCATCTCAATATCTCGGAAACAGCTGATCAAACGCGGCACGTTATGTCTGCCACGCTTTTGGACAGCGAGATTTGCGCTGTATATAATATGTACTGTGACTCATGCAAGAAATCCACATGAAATGCAAGATGATCACTCCTGAAACACACCTTGTTCGTTACTTGAAGTTTCCGGATCAACACATCGTTATCTGTGTTTTGCCGGTAACAACAACCGCACGCATCGCTCGCGCTTTGTGTTTGAAAAGCAGAGAATCTCGCCGCGTGACAGCGTGGATAGACAATAGGTTCACTAATATACAAAAGTACTCTCAAAAAATGGACGTATTAGCCCGTATTTCAATTTTTGCTCCACTTTACAAGAACCGCCTATGCTTACCTGAAGCGTCTTCTTTGCGATTGTCCAAATCCCATGCTGAAGATTTTGTAACCAGCTGAGCACAGATGATACCGAAACTAAAATGTTGGAGATGTTGCGTCAATTTGACCTTTGTTGGGATACGTTTCTAGCGAGATTGGTCCCCCGTCAACCGCCGGGATCTTCCCTTCCTGCAACTTATCCTCTTCCGCTGTGGTTCCTTCCACCTGTGACACCAACACCTCGTGGAGGTGACGCGCATGCAGCAAAAAGGAGTACACATAGTGGGGGAGGGAATCGCCATAATCAAGTCGTGACGGTAGATTTCCCGCCTCTCTTGTCCTTCCTCCCCCCTCCACTGCCCTCCAGCTGCCACTGCAGCACCATGTGGAATGACCGGAAGTGTGCTAAGCAGGTGTTTATATAGCCCTAGAGTGTTATCACAACTATCCTGCTACAAAACATTGATATCTCAAATCCTGTAAGCTACCCGATTTGTTAGCGGTTTGTTTATCCCATGAGCTTCCTTCTCACTCACTTCATTTTGCGGACGGACACACATACATACATACACACATACACACATACAGATACACAAACCGACACACAAAGTTAGCGCTTTATAAAATAAGAAGGAGAATATGCATTTTGCGATATCCGTTGCAGAAACAACGCGAAACGAATGATCGTTAACCACCGTCTCCCTGAACTAACCCATCGGTGATTTGCTAGACTGCAGTTCGCTTGCTGTCTTATCTGAGAGTCTACTCGTTGACTACGGCGCCTAATAGTATACATATGGTATTAGACACGACTCAAAGGCTCTGTTCACTCAATTAGAAATAACTGCCAGTCAATCAAAAATAACTGATTTGTTTGAACCCCATAACCTTAAAGCGAGAGATTACGATAAAGTGCGTATGCAGCGTGGAAGTACATGCACCATTGGAAGCAGTAGTCAGGGGCCCAAGGAAACGAAATGTTGCGTTTTTGTGGTCAAAGGTGCGCTAGTTGCAGCGTACAAGGCTTGCCATTCCTTTCTGAGCCCCGCCACGGTCTGTGCTCCGCCCCCAGCAGCAGCGCCCTTCGATTGCCAATGTGACGAGATATTCCACTTCCAGAGTGTATCCTATAACTTTTCATGGGATGCGTGATCAATCAAAGCATGATGCTTGCTGAAATGATAGAGGCTATCAGCATAACATGTGCAAACGACCTCCTAATTGGTTGCTAGCTCGTCCATTATCGGAGGTCAACGGGCAAAGAAAGGGGTCCCATTTTGCGCCTTCTTGACGGATTTCTTTGCTTTTTTCGCCACTGGGGCATTATTCAGCATCTCCACTTCCACTATGAACCCAGTCCAAACTTATCGTAATCCCTCGCTTTAAGTCAAATTAATAATTTCTTCGGGAAGAAAGGCAAGCATGTACCTCTGCACGTATCTGAAAACGAGAACGAAGAACGGGGTAAATACAGACCTTTCAGCTTCAAGCCGTCCGATTATGCATTCTTTTCTGTTTACAAGCACTTTCTTGGTGGATGGCTTTGGGAGCGGTGATACTGTCATGGGACAACATTCCTGTCGATAATGCCTGGACTTTCCTACACTACAAGCCTGTGCCTTCGTCATGTAAAGAGACATTCATTTAGTTCTTCATAGGATACAAGATAGGCACCAACCTGTAAATGTCAGCTTCTTGAGAACCAACAAAGTCATCCTTGCGCAATATCTCGGGTGCAGTCCACAACAAGTCTGAAAAATGAATGCAGAAAATAAACATAAAAAACACAGCATCGACTACAAAGTACAAGCCGGCCTTACTGGTAAACCCCGACTCAATTCGCATTCCTACTCAGGTGAGCACACACATCAATGATATGTATTAGGATAAGGATAAGGATAAAGCATATGCGTTGAACAGTCCCTTTCTGGGAGAGAGCGCCGATAGTGATAGCACTAGTTCAATCCCGGAGTTTGCCTTTAAAGAAATTATATAGCAATGAAAAAACATGCAAATAAGGATGGAAGCGTAATAATATAAGCCGTTATAATGTATACCAGTTTTGCTTCGCCCGCTATCGCGCGCATCACACGGCAGGCTTTAGCGAAATTGGAGGACCCATGGAATATCAGCATGAGATACTCCATTAACCATCTCACTATTGACTGTGTTAGACCCTCCACAGTTTCACTGAAGCTCATCGAGAATACGCGTGATAACGTCTGAGCTGAACTGGCATATTGATCTCACAACTGTAAACATCCAGCATTTTTCTTGAATTAAGATAATTTAGCGGTGAATAGGATTGCTGTCAGTCTCAAAATCAAAACGAAATATGCCTATTTACATAAGTGAGGAGCTAATGCTTATCATTCATTTACATTCATCATTATTTAGAACCACGAAAGGATTAGCGGTTTAATGAGATTGGGTTTTCTTAATAGTCAGAAATGAAACTTATCATTCGCTGAAGACTTGTTTTTTAAAATTTATGCATATCGAATTCTATAAGTAAGCTATATACAGGGGGGGCCAAAAAAAAAAGACATTTTGCCTCCACTTCCAGATGGATTTAAGCACATTTTACTCAACTCAGACCGAACGGTTCCAACTTATTATTAAAGAGTGCATTCCATTCTATAAGAAAATCTTCATAGTGGCCACGTACGTGGACGGCATCAGAAGAATTAGCCCTGGAAACATGGTGCACTGGTCGATCTCAATGGGGTCTTCGAAGGATCGTGTACCATAACGACCCTTACTGGAAAGCTAGTTCCGAGGGGATTTGCACAGTGGTAGCTAATGCCTCTAGAAAACTATCCAACATTAAATCGATTCACGAAATTGCGTAAGAGCTTCAGGCTGAAGCTCTTACGGTAGACCTCCTTGAGCCTGACGACGGTGACAGATGACGTCATATTCTGAAGACGGTGAGGGCAGTGAAGGAGAGCCTGCGTACACTAATAGAGGAACACTTAGGGAATACTCTGCTGAGGAACTCCCGTCAACGACAGCAATCTCTGCGAAGAAAAAAGAGCCGAAGTCCGACATAGGCAAAATGTCTTTTTTTTTGGCCCCCCCCCCTGTATATCGAAATAATGTGCACGTACCTTTGTTTGTACTACTACGACTTACTACAATTTGTAAGTAGGAACGCTCTAGTGTCAACGCTGCGTAACGGAACTAACGACTTTTGCGTTCTGACGCGCCTTATCGGCCCTTATCAATCGTTATCAGTTTCTGGCACCCCGCCAACAATGTCCCCGTCCCACCCGCGCCGCGCCGCGCCCCCCCCGCCGCGCGGCTCCCACCAACAATGTCCCCGTCCCACCCCACATAACACTTGTAAGTATGGTTGCTCTGGTGTCAACGCGAGCCAGGCAACGGAATCGACGACTTCAGCGTTCTGGCGCGCCTTATCGGCCCTTATCAATCGTTATCAGTTTCTGGCACCCACCAACAATGTCCCCGTCCCACCCCACATAACACTTGTAAGTATGGTTGCTCTGGTGTCAACGCGAGCCAGGCAACGGAATCGACGACTTTTGCGTTCTAGCGCATCTTATCAGCCATTATCAGTTGCTATCGCTTCCAATCATGTACCACCAATGTTCCGGGACCGCCCCACATAAGACTTGTAAGTATAGACGCTCTTTACCAATATGAACGGCAAAACGAAATTGGCGATGCTCGCTTTCTAGCCCCTCTTATCAGCTATTATCAGTCGTTATCAGTTCCTATCACGTACCACTTGTGTCCCCATCCCACCCCCTATAACATATGTAAGAACCACTGCGCTATCGTTACTGTGACTCGAGCTATGAATTTCCGGTCAAACACACACACACACACACAGACACACGCTAGCCGCTTATATATAGTAGGATCTTGATTATGAATGGAGGAAAATCGAAGATCAGTCATAAAACAGGGAAATAGAAATGACAGTCTCTGCACTGCCGCTGATTTCAAGTGAGTGAGATGAGGTGTATAATGAAGTTAGATTGTCACGATCACTGAACCGCACCTTCTCTTCGACGGTGCCTATTCTCGGAATGTGAAGTCTGGCAGTGTTCCTCTTAGAGGTGTGTTGCGGCTAGGAGCTCGCAAAGGTGGCCAGCGGAATGATTCCCTCGAACGTGTCGACCTCCTTGTGATGACCGTTAGGAGGCGAGAGCCACGACCTCCTCCAAAGGTGGACACAAGGCTAGCTTTTCACAGGTGACGCGAGAAAGCGGCGCAGAAATAAGTCAAAAATAAATAATCACCATGGTAGGTAAAAAAATATTATTTTAAGGTCACAATTATGCGGAGTATGTAGTTGCCTCAAAAAAGTTCCTGTGGTCGTAAAAATTCAGATAAACGTCTAATACTGTGGCTTGCTAGACACCAACCTTGTGGCATGCGCTTATCATACAAACGCAATTTTCTCAGTCCGTAGTCGGAAACCTTCGCTTGCCAACGGTCATCGACCACACAGCATTTAGATGTCAGAAAACCATGGTATTCCAAGAACGAATGATGAATGAATGCCAGACCCTTAAAACTCGAAGAAGTTGACAACAAACATACATACAACTCTGAAACCATCCTCGAAAAGAGTATAGCATTGTAATTATCATATTAAAAAGGATGAAAACATGTTTTTTTTCACTTTGCCACCGAGAAACGTTTCTTGGAGATCCCTTTGATTGGAATTTGGAATTTGGTAAGTTCTTGTGCGAGAAAATACGGGAATGCGGCATGCAGGAAGTCCGTTATAGAGTTATCAGGTTGAGCGAAAATTATCTTTCATCCATCCTCATGGCTGATTGATTTTTTGCTGATTATTTTCGAAGATCATGATGTGAAAGCGTCAAGCTTTAAAGAACAAACTGCATTAAACAAATATTCTGTATTTGCCCCACTATGAAGCTTACACCTGCTGCATGTGCTCGTAAAATAATGGAGTGGGGTTACGCACGGTTGCAGAGAAGTCTGTTCAAGAACGTTTCTTCTAATAATTTGTTAGTGTTTTTGTTCCGATTTTGTTGATAAACTCATGAGTGTTTTCGTTTCGGATCAGACAAAAAGAAAGAATGATAACGGCGGATAATTCCCGCTAAACCTAAGTTACAGTAAACTACTTTCTGCATTGATCCTTGCATCAACTTCCATAGTAGATTTCTGTAGAGGCCTTCTCTAAATGCCTGAATTTCCGTCACCCAACAGCTATCGTTTTTGCAACAAGAGGGAGCTCTGAAGAAGCTTTAAGAGCAGTTAGCAAAACAGAGCCCTGGAAAAAATTTTCAACAGCACTAACTACATAGATTTCCTCACAGGCATTGGATACTGACATCAACTAGAACGTATCCAAAAAACAAGATGGCTAAACATCAGTGGCGAAATCAGTTGTGAAATTTCCAGCGCCTATCGCTAGGCAGTTGCTGCCTCGATGGCCCTGCAACAATGCTTTTGAAAAGAAACTCGAACGATGCCGGTGAGGGCTCCATCTCGAGTGCGTTCCTATCATAACCTTTTAGTGCTACCGGTGGGCGTATCTGGGGTAAGAAGGGTCCATCGAAGCTACGGCATCTTATCAAGTAGGTAGCGCTCGTTTTGCCACGAAAAAGTCACATCACGTCCGTTTGGATATTTCTTTACCCTTTCTAATATCCATTTACTAAAATGTACTCGTCGCCGATTTTGAATAGGGAAAAAGAGAAAAAATTGAACAATTGACTGATTAGGTAGGGTAGCAAAAAGCATACATACGTTTGCAACATCTCTTATGAGTGAGAATACAAAAATACTGTCCATTGACATCGATCCCTTGGTGATGACATCGTTGAGACTACCTCTACTGCAGTATCTCCATATAGATAGCAATTGTGGCCCATCAAGGCACAGTCCAAGGAATCGATTGAGGTTGTCGTTCTCCAGTTCTCTCATCTTAATAATACTTTGCCTGTGAAATATTCATGTAGTGCTCTTAGTTAAAGGACGAATTTACGATGGAAAAGCAACCCATTCCAAATTGAGGTAGAGATGGTGAGTAGTACCAGAAAGAAAGCGAAACCACGAAAAACGGCCCAGAACCGGAGAAATGGGACCCCTTCCTTGTCCGTTGATTTGAGCATTGATGGGACTCTCATCGCTTTGCCCTCTTCAACCCTACGCTCTCTCAGCTATCTAATCACTCGCCACCTATTGTACTACGGCGAGTGATCAGACGATCGGTGGGCGGAGATCGCCGAACTCGCCAACTTTGAGCCATGCTAGATCTCAGAGGTCAAATCTTTCGATGCCGATTGCGTGTCTGTCCGCACCCTCAAGAGATTCACCGCTCTCCCCACTAGGCGATTTCTCCCTTCTTCGACCTTCGTTCTTTCCGTGCAATCCTCCTTTAAGATATTCGACGACTAATTGTAGTTAGACACGCCGAGAATGGGGATCTCATTAAAAAAAGAGTATCCGAGCTTGGCAAAGCGGGAGTGATATGGCCTGAACGTGATTAAAGGCCCACCCCAGACACATTGTGTGCCCATGTGCACGAAATGTGTTTGTACTGGTGGGAAGTGGGCCGGCAGTAAAGAAAAAAGGAAAAGAATCCGTCAAAAACGCTTAGGTTAAGGGCTCACTCACCTTCCTGATCGGCTGTGCTAAGGGAATGAGAGACTATGCGCGGAGGGGAGAGTATGAGGCGAGAGAGTACTACAGATGAGAGAGCGCCAGACAACAGCCTGATAAGAAAAAAAAGTCTGCAGCTTGGGCAGCTTACTTTGCAAGGCCCAAGCGCTCTTATCGGTCGGTTTCCGTGCACGAGAACGCCACATTTGTGATTGTCCTCTAGGGTTCTATACTACAGACCGAAGAGAAGCGTTCACACGACCTCTGCCTGGGTTGTGCCTTTAAATTCTTAGGTCACATCGAAGATAATTGACATGTTTCGCTTACCTTCTCTGAATTTTTGTTGTGGTGAGTATGTGTCCTATTTCTGCTACAAAGCAGTGAAGCAATATAAATCGTTGCGACTGCTGTGCGGTGAGCACCAGCGTTTCATGTAGGTTTGGCTTCGAGGAACGAAAGGCACTGTTGAACCTACACCCGTGCCAGAAGTCGTGCCAACGTTTCCCTTCGCTCTATAGGATAGACACTCAGAGGGCAGTCCAATATGTGCATGAATCGCTCGATGAAGGCGCTAGGCCATGCGGATTTTCCTGTTGGACCAGTGGTTTTTAGTTCCACATAGTAGGACCAGTGCCTGGCGCCCTCCCCTCTATTGCCCCTTTTCCCACATTCTCTCTCCTACGCGCTCAGTCTCCCATCACCTTAGCACATTGCACTACGAAAGTGTGGAAGCCTTACAAGGGAAGGCTCTCAGGTCGCGGCCATTAAAAAGGAGATGTATACGCCTAGATGTGCCTTTGAACGCTGATCTCAAATCTACCTTCCAAATCTGCTAAACGATTCTCTGAACGGAGTTATGAAGCAAAACAGCGCAACGGTAGTGGTCGGGACTCACAGTCAAAACGTCGTAGGATCGGCCCCTTATCGTGTTACTGTTTTCCATTCTTTAGTAATACAGCTAAGCGGCTTGTAATAGCACTATTTAGCTAATTTCCTGAAGAATGCAAGACGGCTCACGACAAGGACCGATCCTACGACGTTTTGACTGTGAGTCCCGACCACTACCGTTGCGCTGTTTTGCTTCATAACTCCGTTCAGAGAATCGTTTAGCAGATTTGGAAATTAGATTTGCGTTCAAGGCACATCTAGGCGTATAAATCACTTCTTTGAACGGCCGTGATGACCTGAGATAGCCTTGGCGTTTTCGACGGATTCCTTTCCTTTTTCTTCACTTCCAGGCAATTTCGTACCAATACGGTCATGCTCGTTTGAAAGACCACACTAGTTTGATCCTGAGGCATACCTTTAATCACTACGGTCCTTAGTTTGCTGTTCTCACGGAGCAATGAAGCAGAACGCATAACGAACTGTTCAAAGATTACGAAACGAGCGCGAATGGTAAGGAACCTATTCTACTATGCAGAGTGAAATCTACCCCAGGCAGAATCATTGATGAAAGTGAACAATAGCTGTTCTCACGAAGGTAGAAGAGTGAGACGTTTTTAGAGGCTGGGATGATTCCTACATCACAGCAGATCACGGCCGGAGGATACTGTTATTACTGAAGAATTCATGACTTGTACCTTTCGCATCTCCAAACAGTCCTGAGACTCGAGCTGTATCCTCCCCTCGTGTTTCATCGCTGCCACACATTCTTTCTTAAAAAAGCAAGTTCATGTTAAGCGACTGAAATAATGTTAAAGCAACAGTCTCAGCAGGGTTTTTACCCTTGACACTGTATGGCCGGACGCATAGTCGGTCGGACGACAGCAACGACCGCAAGTGTCGCATAAACCGCGGTTGCAAATGGAAGGCGACGCGGTCACCCAATGCTAACCCAGACAACACGTGACTGCGCGTGATCGTATTTCGAAAGTCCCACTGTAGTGTGGAATAGTAGCTGCGTATTGATCTACGACACTTACCGCGTCGCCTTCCATTTGCAACCGCGGTTTATGCGACACCTGTTGCGCTGAGTCGTGCTGTCGGACGACGCTATGCGTCGCGGCCTATGGTTTAATGAAGGCACTATGCGCTCTATGTCAAGAACATGAAAAAGGGGGTGGTGATCGATAAGAAGCGGTCACCTAGAAAGGGAGCTGAACAGCTTCGAAGTGGGCGTGGTTAACAATCGGCTGCAACCCCTAAGCTGAATGATAACCACGCCCACTGGCTCCCTTTCTAGCGGCTTTCCAAGGTGAGTTTTTTGTTCAGTCACACTTTTTATGTTCTTGACTAGGGCTAGCGCATCGTTCCACACCATTAGTGTCGAAGGTAAAAACCCTGCTGGACTGTTGCTTCTAATAATTGGAATAGCCCTCACTTACAAACCTGTTTAGCCCATGGATTTGACGTACATATGTGCACGAAACCTCGAACTTCTTGATTTTTCCAGAAAACCGTGAAGCCTCATTACTAATGATGTTCTTATTCAAGTCAGACGAATACTTTGTGTGTTCTCTCACCTTCCTCTCTTCTCCCTCACCATACTATTTCATCGCCACAGCACAGCTGACATAGCGGACCAACTCTTTAGATTTAGCATTTTCATTTCAATTCTTTCCCATTTTCCTTGTTCCCTGAGCGTGATTTCGATAGCTTCTAAAGATTGTGCTTTCACTTCTCAAGCCTAAAATCCAATTTACTCGTCACTCAGAAAATGAATGAAGGGAAATGAGTGGTTTTGAAGCTCTTTCAAGTGTTATTGTTATGCTGTGAAAAGGTTGAAATTCAAATACAGAATCATGTACTAACAATTAGACTTGAACCTAAAGTAGTAGACGGTTTAGTGACGGAAACAACTGTTAATACGTTTATAGGTCCATTAGGTATTCGTTTTGAGTGTTATCACTCTTATACATTTTTCCTTTCTTTTTATATTTAATTACATCATTGCACATTATGTCATTACCAGTTTAGCGCCGCACGCTACCGCGCGCATGAAACGGAAGGTCGGGATGAGACAGGACAGCCGATAAAGCGTTAGATTCACCGCTAAACATTGAGTTGCTTCGTAAAATGCGTTAGCTGACCGCTCCATAGGCTGCTCATCTTTGCAGAAGCTCACCGTTTGATACGCGCAGTGGAGTGCGGAGCTAAAGTGGTGTCTGTAAACAACCACCATGCATCGAATGTCAGTGTAATTTAGCGGTCGGATTGTGTGTGATGTTAAAATAAAACTCCAGCACTCGTTTTCGTATATTTTTGAACACATGTTCTCGAGCAATCCACCATACATTTTAGGAACCTTTTGGGAGCATAGCGGTCTAGTGGCGTTCCGCGCTGAAACAGTAATAACGCACCAATGAAAGAAACTGGAATGAATGCTTCTAACAAAAGTCTGGTTTTGAGTGGCTCCTCTGCGCATATCGGTTAATTATCTCGGCTTAATCAGCCAAAAAGTTGCGTAATTCGCGTTTCTATATCCCCCAAAGAATATGCTCCCCTTCCTACCCCCTACAACACTTCTTGGAACCAACGCCTCACTGATGCTGGGATGCGCGCTATGGATGTCGTGGAATTGGCGTTGTGGCGCCTTTTATTGGGTCTTATCAGTCGTTATCACTTTGAGTCCCTCCACCAAACAGTTCCTGTCTCACCCTCTGCAACATATTGAAATACAGCGCTCCACTGTTGCACCGAAGTTGCGTATGAATTTCGTAACAAACACCACGTACACACATAATAATACACGAATACGGGGGGCACAAAAAAAAAGAAGTCACAACTCCGACTCGGCATGGTCAATCAGAAGTTATTCTACAACTTTGACCAAAAACCAACCGATGATGCTTGTAATTGCAGAATCTGAAGTAGGCACATTTGATCTCTATCACAAACATTGCATTAGGTGGCCCTTGCTAACGGACGACACCAGGAAGATTTATCACACAGAACATGTGTAGTAGCTCAGGGAGTCTCACGGGGTCGTCGAGAAAGCCCATGGCTCATGATATACGACGTCTCTGTATATGGCTGGTCAAAAAGCCATTTATGCACTAGTCAGAGCTAAGTGTCTCTAAGAAGCTCATTTACCAGTTATCGATTGAGAATTTAAATGTCTGTGTCGCAAGCTTCAGAATGGCAGCGGGACTATCGTAGCTCCTTGAAGCCCGACGGTGATGACAGATGACGTCATATTCTGGAGACGGTGAACGCAGCGAAGGTGGGCCTGATTCTGCTTATGGGAGGACATCTAAGGAATAATTTGCCGTATAACTCCCAATAACAGCGGCATCCTTTGCGACGAAAAGTTTGATGATATGCGCCATAGGCAAAGTGACTCTTTTTTTTTTTGCCCCCCTGTATACTCGATATCCGTG